ATATCTCAATTCTATCGACTAGGTGTATGGTGTCAAGTTAGCACTACATACCATTGCCCAATCCACAAAAAGGCGACCTCGTCATTCGCGCCAACTACANGTTAACTTTTCCAAATTCGAAAAGTGTAGTGCTAACTTGACACACGTAATGAAAAGGCAACATTTGTTGTAGAAAAGAAAACGTCATTAGCCATACTGCAGTTTATAATTATGTTCTTAAATGCTCAAACGTGAAAGTTTAAGTTATTGTATTGAAAATTGTATACATACCTTCATTGCTGGTATAATCTAATGGAAGAGGCAAATGATTGCTGGATTTCTTATCAAGGTCATCTTGGTTCTTTGAACGTAAAAACAGGACTGTAGCAACAATAACCAATACTAATATGAATACAACAGCAACAGTGGCGCCAGCAACAATGCGCATATGGATAGAATCCTCATAACCTAATAAAACCAAAATGTATATTTTTATAACCAGAATTTTCCGCTTTATTACCTAAACTGACACCCTGGTGTGTTTGCGCATAAACTATATTACTGTAAGTACCATAACCGTTCAGTGTTTTGCAGCGCACCTGAAACCCATATTCTGTATTTTCATTCAATCCTTCAATGTGTGCTTTTGTGTCCTTGGTGTTTAGAGCAGTTTTATTTATTGCATCCAATTCTGGTTTGGGAAACCAGCGCACCTCATAAAATTCAATAGGAGAATCGCTTTGCACGGGTTTGTCCCAAACGAGATCGACTTCTTTACTTGTTGTTGAAACAACGCGAACGTTGAACACAGTCGAAAGAATAGCGGATTCTGTTGTGAATATGATTTCGGCATACTCCGTTTTTATTTGGCTTAAATCGTAAGGTTGGCTGTTAGCAAGACTGCCCGACGATTTTAAATTATTTGCAAGTGCATTTTCGGAAAATACTTCACTATAACCCATATTTATGGAATTATTGTGCTGATCAAAAGATTCATTGCCGTTATTGTCAGAGTCCACTAAATATGAAATTCCGTTCAATGAATGAATTTGGATGGTGTATGTTGTTACGGGTTCTAAATTCGTTAAAGTTAATTTTGTTTCATTAAACGTGTCTGATGCTGGATTGTACACAACATTCGATGAACACGAAAGACATCGTACTTTGTAAACAACGTCACTGCGATATTTATTTAGTTTAACATGAGGTGAAGATTCAGAAACTTCTTTCGTGGGAGTATTCCAAGATAGAATTGCACTCGTTTGATCAACAAATAACAGTGTGAGATTTGTGGGAGGTCCAGGCGGTTTATAACAAGGCATATGCTTTCCATCGTATGGATGTCGATAGAAACCAGGAAGGCATTTACAAAACCCTGAAGCTGATTTTGGGGCATTGGAGTTGGAAGGGCATGGCACACATATATTAACTTCCTTGGAGCGAAATTTTCCAATAGGACATTCTAAAAATTAATCAAGAAAATATTTTATTAAAGCAGCACGAATAACAAAATAAAAAAAAACGGTATAAGAATGAGAACGTTGCCAAAAATAAAAAAAAGTATATCCCTCGATAGAGGTTTTTGATACAACTATATATTTTTTTTTTGGGAAATGAAAACTACAGTAGTTACGAAAGGTCAAAGGGCAAATGCAGCGCTTTTTTTTCAAATCCAAATATCTCGAAAACCATCGCACGGATTCTATAAATTTTGATGTCATTCAATACGAAATACATATGAATCGCTTTAATTAGATATATAAATGTTAAACATCTTCTAAAGTTTTAACAACAATTCAATTTATGTAAAAAACAGTATAAACAATTTTAAACGAACGCATTTTTCTTTAAAACTTGGCTTATTAATCACATATTTAAATGTTATAATTAAATAGCACGTGAATAAAGCTTTCATTTGATATACAACATGTTGTGTTCAGTCCTCGCCAATCGGAGTATTTTAATAAAATAAACCCGGTCGGTCCGACTTCGGCTAAGCTGTTCAGAGTATTTATTCTCGGAACTCCTTTACGACACTGGTCATATTCCGCCCCCCTTCTCCGGCAACACAGAAAGGAGAGTTTTACCTAATAAGGGTTAGAATCCCTAAGTACGGCCGAAAACCGCCTAACCAGAAAAGAATTATGTGCAAGAATTCTGTGGATGCCGTGACCGGAGTTATATGCACAATAATTCTAATATACCTTTGACCAAAAAGAGGGTCTTCCGCCCCCCTTCGACAGCAACACAGAATGGAGAATTCTACTTAGTAAGGCTTATAATCCCTAAGTGCACCCGAAGGTCGCCTACGCAGAAAAGAGTTACATACAAAAATACATACAGAAATCCGGAAGAAATGTAATATACCTTTGACAAAAGAAGAGGGGTTACAGCCCTCCTCGCCGGCAACACAGAAAGGAGAATTCTAGTTAGTAAGGGTTATAATCCCTAAGCGCGGTCGAAAGCCGCCTACGCAGAAAGTTTTGCGCAAAAATACTGTGGTATTGGTCCGACCAGGGTTTTTTTTTTTAAATACTCTGTATAGCGACAACTGTAGACAACATGTTGTGTATCGTATGAAATCTTGATTCATGTGTTATTTAATTATAAGATTCTTAAATGTAATTAACAAGGCAACTTTTAATGAAAAATGTGTTCGTTTAAAGTTCTTTGTAATTTTTTTTACATAGGATTTTTGCTAAAACTTCGGAAGATATTCATATATAGTGGTGTAGTGGTTAGCAGAGCGCGCTACCACTCCGCAGCGCCCGTGTTCAAGCCATGGTCAAAGCAATATCGGAAAAAAATATATAGAAACAAGTACGAAAGTCTAAGTTCGGGCGGAACCGAACATTAAATACCCGGCGCAAGTATTAAATATATGTTTTCCACCTTTCCGAAAGCTACCGCTACATGATAAGCGGTAAAGTAAGTAAACTAGCATCCTTAAATTTCGAAATATTGAAATTTAAAGCATTTTTGAAATTTACCGTTACATGAAAAGCGGCCGTAATTTTAGTCTGATTTCAACAAATTACTAGAACGGTTAACGAGATACATAGATGTGATCATAAGTGGGCGGTGCCACGCCCATTTTCCAAAATTTTATCATAAACGTATTTCCTGGTAAAGAATTGTTGCAACCATCAATTTTAAATAAATGTGGGATTAGGTCCTAGTACGGTAAGACGGCAACACCGACGCTAGTCCTTCACATAGGCAGGTAACCCTGCATACCGAACTTGACGAACTTAACGAACGCACGTCTAGACATGGCTGACCTAACTGCCATTATCGAAGATACATACAGCAGAGTTCATTGTCGACCGTCGCCGCCATCGTTTGCCTGCCACCGCGATTAACATAAGTTTCGCCAAACCAAAATTGTACTGCGTTGTATTACATTTATAGAATTCAATAAAATATAAAGTAAATGAAAATAAAACACTCGGTATCCTACAAAGTGGTGACAGAAGTGGAGATTATCCACTAAGGGCCGGTAGAAAAACAATACTGTGTAGTGAACAAGTGCGTGCGCAAAAAATTAACCTGCGAAGTAAGATAAACTTTTGACGGTGCAAAGAAGCATATACAGATTGTGCGTAGTGCGTAGCTTCTGTGGAAAATTTGGAAGAAAAAAACTTGGAAAGAAAAGTGCTTTTCAAATAACGGGACTTAACCGTTACAATCATCCGCTACGCAAGAACAGTTGTCGCTAAAACTTATTTTTGCGGCGTTCACAAAAACGCTACACAGTAGAAGCAGTGCTGACATTGGTCATACACACAAAGCGTTGTGCATTTGAAGCCAAATAACTAAATTCCACAAAACAGTCGATTTGGCGAATCAGTGAGATTTTGCATAAATAACTAAATTTTGCAGAGTCTGTACTTAAGCAACGGGTTTCGTGGCAAAGGCAAGGCAGCGGTAACGGTTAAATAAACGATAAAAGAACTAAAATCAGCGCTGGCGCAGTAACGCAAAGCTGAGAACTACGTTGGCAGAGCTGCGCAAACAAAGCAGCGAGAGCAGTAGCAGAAGTGTGGCGGTAGCTGTGTGACTAAGCAGAGGTGTTCGAGGGAGACGAGACAACGCGTAGTAGAAGTGCGTTGCGAAGCTGTGAATCCTACAAGGTTGCAGTGGACTTGTGCGTGACACAGTAGAGCGCAAAGTCGTTGTTGTATCCGAACTTGCTGGTGTGCAATCGGAGTTGTTGCGTGGAGCCTATTGGGTGTTGTGGTCGACGTCGTTGTCGTCATGTTGTAGCCGAACGAGCAGAGGAGTTGTAGCAGTTGTCAAGTCATACAAGCCAACAGTGGGGCAAAAGCAGAGCGCAGCTAAGTGAAAATATAATTTGACTACTAATGTTTTGTATATGTAAATTAACCTTTGGCTTATCGAATTAATTATCATTGCCATTTATTGTTAACGATATATGTACGTATGTTTCCTCTTAGCCACAGGCACATGTAGGAGTTAGAGCAGAAATAATTTGAACGATATATGTTAAATAGTTAGGCCGTCGACAGTGGGCAGAATATTTTAAGCTGTACATGTTTTACTTTGTTGATTTAAAATCCGTTGCAAATAAATATTTGTCCATGCATTTGTAAAAAAAAAAAAAAGAAAAGAAAAGTATCAAAAAGAAAGAAAGTTTTGTAACTACATAAGGAACGATTAATCTTACTAATTAGTACTCGTATGTACGGTGGCTCAGGTTGAGAAGATTGATAAACGAAAAGTCGATAAACTACTGTCGTAATTAAGTTTGTTACATTGCTGTTCATGTTAAAGTTTGATATTTTACGCATTTTGTAAGTGGAAACGGTTGACAATGGAGAGACAAGAAATTTTAGAACTGAACGTAGCCGGACTGAAACAGAAATTGTTAGAGTTAGGACTGGCCACTACAGGACGGAAAGTTACCTTACAAGACCGACTCCTAGAACATTTCGGTCTGAACGCTGACAGCGAGGATGATGGCGCGAGCACTAACGGTGACGCGGCCTCCGTATATGACAATGCTGGTTCGTCCCCATCAAGGGCAATACCTAGTTTACATAGCCGTACTACTTTTACACTACGCGATATAGAAGATTCGTTGACGTCATTTAGTGGGTCGGGTTCGCCGCAAATCGAGGAATGGCTTGAAGATTTTCTGCAAAACGCCATTGCAGTTCACTGGAACGAGCTCCAGAAATTTATATACGCGAAGCAGCTAATGAAAGGGGCTGCTAGAATTTTTGTACGTAGTCAGCGTGATGTCACCGATTGGAATTCGTTGATGCAAGCACTGAGGTCCGAGTTTGGGACCAAAGTATCCTCGATAGAAGTGCATCGTATGTTAAGGAATCGCCGTAAACGCAATAACGAAGATCTAAGAGAATATTTATATTCCTTAATGGAGATCGGGAAACCGATAAGGCTGGATGACATGAGCCTTATCGAGTATTTTATCGAAGGTATCCCCGACTCCAGGCAAAATAAAATTAATTTATACCAAGCGAAGTCCATAGCGGAACTCAAGGAGCAGATTCGAGTGTATCAGATGGTAGGGTCTAGTCGCCAACAAGCGAACAACTCGAACCAGCCTAGCGTTGGAAGCAGAGCTCCGGTCAACCCTAATGCACGCAGAGATGGAGGTAAAAGGTGCTTTAAGTGCGGCAACACTTCGCATCTGGCCAAAGACTGTCGCGGATCATTCAAATGCTTCAGGTGCGGCAAATCAGGGCATCGGGCAGCCGACTGTAGGGGTGCTCCAGCAGCAATCAAAATGGAGAGTCACAACGCCAATACGCTAGGTGATGAGTTATGGGGTAGGCTAGGAAAAGCTGGTAGGTGCATCTTCGTGGACGTGACGCGTGGTCATACGACATTCTCTGCTTTAGTTGATACAGGGTGTGACCTCTGCTTAATACGCAACGACACTTTGCTTATGCTTGGCGGCGATATTGAGTTGGGCAAAGATCGACGCCACATGGTCGGAGTGGGCAATGGTGGGCTAACTACGTTGGGAAGTTTCGCTAGAACGTTCAGCATCGACGGAATGGAGTTGGAGGTGACATTTCATGTAACTAGGGAGCGTGACATGAATTATGCAGCGGTGATTGGCAACGATATTTTAAAGCAAGTAACCTTAATTGTCAACGAAGACGGGGTGGAATTTAGACCGAAGTCCAATAAGACTGAACCAGTCTGCAACGTAGCAACAGAAACTTTAAAAACGGGATTTGATTTGCTAGGCGAGTTTGCCGGAATGAGCGTATCAGCAGTTATCGAGAAGGAATCCGAGATAGAGTTGTCACACCTTAGCGCGGAGAAGGCGCGCGTTGTTGAAGAGTTGGTGAGGAACTATACGCCGAGGAAAACGCGGAAATCGCCAGTCGAAATGAAGATTCTGTTGGTCGACGATATACCGGTTTATACCGGGCCAAGGCGTATGTCGTACGAGGACAAGTGCAGCGTAGAAGAGCAGGTGACAAAATGGCTGAAGGAAGGTATCATCCAGCGGAGCACTTCGGAGTACGCATCACCCATCGTACTAGTCGGAAAAAAGGATGGGAGCAAACGGCTGTGCTGTGATTACCGACGGCTCAATGACAAAATTGTAAGGGACAACTTTCCCATGCCATTAGTCGACGACGTAATCGAAAGGTTACACGCTGCAAATGTCTTCACTACGCTTGATCTCTCGAATGGATTCTTCCACGTACCGGTTGAGCCTAATTCACGAAAATATACCGCGTTCGTAACTTGCAACGATCAATACGAATTTTTGTACGTCCCCTTCGGCATATCTAATTCACCAGCTGTTTTTTCCCGATTTGTTTTCGCTATCTTCCGCGACATGATACAAAACGGAACTGTTGTTGCTTATATGGACGACCTCATCATTCCCGCTAAGGATGACGACGAGGGAGTCCAAAAGCTGAAATCTGTTATTAGTAGGGCGGAAGAGTACAACCTACGGTTCAAATGGCGGAAATGCCAATTCCTTAAGACGAAAGTTGAGTTTTTGGGTTATGTTATACAAAATGGTACGATCAAGCCGTCCGATGCTAAAACTAAGGCTGTAGAAAACTTCCCTGTACCCCACGATCGAAAGGCTGTACAACGTTTTTTGGGCCTTACTTCGTATTTCAGGCGCTTTATAGAGGGATACGCATTGGTCGCTAAACCGCTTTCGGATCTCCTGCGACACGACGTGAAGTTTACTATAAAAGAGGAGCAGCTCTTGGCGTTCCAGCAGTTGAAGGCAGCTTTAGTGAGGGCGCCCGTATTGCGGTTGTATAACCCAAAAGCAATGACAGAGGTGCACACAGACGCATCAATGTATGGCTATGGAGCGGTCCTTCTGCAAAAGGATGTTGATGATCAACAGTTCCATCCCATACAATACATGAGCCGGAAAACGACGGAAACCGAGGAGAAATACCATTCCTATGAGCTGGAAGTGCTGGCGATTGTTGGAGCACTTAAGAGGTGGCGCGTCTATTTGTTGGGTCTGAAGTTTAGAATCGTGACCGACTGCAACGCCTTCGCGATGACGATGCGCAAACGGGACATTCCGCTAAGAGTCTCTCGTTGGGCGTTATTCCTACAGGATTTCGCGTATGAAATCGAGCACCGAAGCGGAAGTAAAATGAAGCACGTAGACGCACTGAGTCGAATTGCTTGCCTGATGCTGGAGGATTCGTTGCAGCACCGACTACGCCAAGCGCAGCTCATGGACCCATGGATCAAAGCAGTTTTGAAGATTCTCGAAAAAGACGAGTATGAGGACTTCTACGTAAAACACGGAGTGCTTCACAAAGATCCCATTAAGGAACTAATCGTTGTGCCCGAGTCAATGGAGGACGAAATTATTAAAGTCTCCCACAACCAAGGCCACTTCTCACCGAAGAGAACACAGGAAGCCGTTGAAAAGACGTTCTACATACCGCAGTTGTCGACGAAAGCGTCCAAAGTCGTGAAGAGCTGTGTTGAATGCATCGTTGCGGAGAGCAAGGCTGGAAAGAAAGAGGGATTCCTGACGCCAATAAGCAAGGATGACCGCCCTCTGGGAACTTACCACATTGACCATCTTGGGCCAATGGAAATGACGTCGAAGTGGTACAGCTATATTTTTGTGGTGGTCGACGCCTTCTCCAAGTTTGTGTGGCTCTATGCGTCGAGGAATACAGCAGCGGAGGGTGCGATCAATCAGCTGAAGTGGCAAGCGGCGACGTTTGGGAATCCCAAGAGAATCATCTCGGATCGCGGTTCGGCGTTTACGTCCCATGCCTTTGGAAAGTACTGCGAGCAAGAAGGGATACAACACCTGTTGATAGCCACCGGTGTCCCTCGGGGCAACGGGCAGGTAGAGCGCATACACAAAATAATTGTTCCAATGCTAGCGAAACTGTGTGCTGGGAACCCGAGCCAGTGGTACAAGCACCTCGAGCAAGTCCAACAGACCCTCAACAGTACGCCACCTCGGAGCACGAAGATATCACCCTTTAGACTTCTAACTGGTGTCGAAATGCGCATTAACGTTATTCCGGAATTACAGCAGCTTATAGAAGATGCAGCCATCAGAGAGTTGGACACCGAGCGGGAGGAGGCACGAAAAGAGGCACAGGAGAATATTCGCAAGATACAGCTAGAGAATCGCCGGTCCTTCAACAAGAACCGGAAGGATGTGGTAACGTATAGAGTCGATGAGCTAGTCGCCATTAAGCGCACACAGTATGGCACCGGACTCAAGCTGAAACCAAAGTTCCTGGGGCCATATAAGATCACCAAAGTTTTATCGCATGACAGATACGAAGTGCGGAAAGTCGGGGACCACGAAGGTCCAAGAACTACGACGACGATAGCCGAGTACATGAAGAAATGGGAGCCTGCAACCGAACCACCGCGCGTGCCATCATTCGAGCCGAATGACGAGTCAGGAGGGCCGAATGTGGGATTAGGTCCTAGTACGGTAAGACGGCAACACCGACGCTAGTCCTTCACATAGGCAGGTAACCCTGCATACCGAACTTGACGAACTTAACGAACGCACGTCTAGACATGGCTGACCTAACTGCCATTATCGAAGATACATACAGCAGAGTTCATTGTCGACCGTCGCCGCCATCGTTTGCCTGCCACCGCGATTAACATAAGTTTCGCCAAACCAAAATTGTACTGCGTTGTATTACATTTATAGAATTCAATAAAATATAAAGTAAATGAAAATAAAACACTCGGTATCCTACATAAATTAGCTTCAATATTTACTGATTTATCGAGGATTTCGTATTTCTCGAAATTACCATTATATGGGATGTGGCCGTGGTTATTTTCCGATTTTGTAAATTTTCGGCCATTTGGTATGCTGTGCCAAGTTTGGAAGAAATTGGTGCAGCGGTTACCAAGATATACACATGTTACCATGAGTGGGCGTGGCTACGCCCACTTTTCAAAAATTTATAATATTCTTATTTTTCGTCTAATAGTTATACTAAATGTCAATTTTGAGTGAATTATCTTCAGTAGTTACTAAACTATCGCAGTTTTCGTATATCTGAAAATTACAGTTATATGGGAAGTAGGCGTGGTTATTGTCCGATTTCGCCCATTTTCAATACCTTCCGTCCCACGCCCAAAAAATTTGCATGTAAAAAGTTTCGTTAAGATATCTCAATTTTTACTCGAGTTACCGTGTGCACAGACGGACGGACGGACGGACGGACAGACAGTCACCGCTTAATCGATTTCTCTTTTCATTCTGATCATTTATGTATACATTTGTCTATATCTATCTCGATTCGTTTTGCCTGTTACAAACAACCGTTATGTGAACAAAGTTATAATACCCTTGTGCACAAGTGCGCTCGGGTATAAAAAGGTTTGTTCTTAACCGCGGTCGCCCCTTGACAAGCAATGGCAAACCTCCGAGTGTATTTCTGCCACGAAAACACCTTCTCATACAATCGCCGTTCGGAGTCGGCGTAAAACTGTAGGTCTCTCCCCTTTGTGTGCCAACATCAAGGCGCACGCCACAAAACGGAGGAGAAGCTCGGCCAAACACTAACATATGTAATAAGCGCCAATCTATTGTTATTATTATTGTATATCTAATTAAAACGACTCATTATTTCCTTTTGAATAACATCAGTTTTTATAATCCGTTTGATGGTTTTCAAGACTTTTGGAATTGAAAAGAGCGCTGCATTTGACCTTTGACCTTTCATAACTACCGTAGTTCTCGTTTCCCTAAAAAAAAATGTACCCTTATGCTTGCCTCAAAAACTTCTATCGAACTGAATTTTTTTGTCATTTTTTCATTGTTCGGATTATTAACTTGTTCCTAAAAACATTGTAGAATATCTAATATGTTACACAAACTTGTTAGAGGGAGTTTAGTTAATAACTGTATATTACCTATGCAAGTTTTATTTATGAAATCTGGTTCATATCCAACTTTGCAATGGCATCCGCCTGTTAAAATCGTCCATTTTCCATCTCCTTTACACAAATACGTTGGGATTTCGTACGGCTCTGCATTTTCAACACAAGTACCATTTTGTTTTTCGATTATTGTTATTTCTCGGCCAGTAGGGGTTTCATTGAAATGTGCAAAGTTTTCCGTTACTGCCGGGCATGTAATGTAGTAAACTTTAACGGCTAAGACACTTATACAAGCGCCTTGATCACGGAATGCAAAATAAACACCTTTTTTTGTAACAGCAATACTCTTAACCTCTGTATTTATATCAACATCGGAGTTTTGGTTAAATCGACCCTCACCGGCAGCTATTCTCGCTACAAAATTAAAAAAGTAAGATTATATTTACACAGTGAACTACTAATTAAATTGTAGTTTATACTTGCCTATTAATTTATAACTGTCTGTTTGCCAGGGTGGAGGTTCACGGGTAGCAGCATCAAACTCATAGAACAAAAGACTAAACGTTTCTTTACAGGATAGTGCGTTTCCTTAAAATAAAAAGCACATTAACAGTTAATCGGAACTGAACTTCGAATTTTGTTTCTACCTGGAAATAATGAACAGTCACGAATAGTAAATTGAATTTCTATGTAAAGACGGTTTGCTGGACCGCGGTCGATGAAAGGTGACCACAGCCAATTATTTACATTATTATATGCAACATCACAAACAACATAACTTCTCCAATTTATGCCTTTGACAAAGTCTGTGAATGACTCCTCCACCCACTAAGAAATTACAATAAAATAAATGTGAAACATATTAAACGATTAATGAGCCGAACCAACCCCAGGTGTTTGAGCTTGCGGTCCGTATGGATAACGTGTCCACTCCAAGGTAGCTTCTCTTGTGGTATCCAAAAGAATTACTTTAAGAATATTTTAAATATGAAGTCAATACTTAAGACTACTGAATCTTATATTAATGATTTACCTTGATCAGCTAAAACAACTCCAAAGTGAAATACAAAAATGAAAAAAGCGAGTGCAAATAAAACTTTTCGTACTTTTAAAAGCTGGAAGTTTAAAGAGGCTTGTGTTGAATTTAAAATTAATGTTTTTTCTGATATCGCTATTTTAGGTAAAATATGCGTCAACAGTACTCTTTTTATAACTTCTATAATTTTGATAACCAGCATTGCATGACCAAACCCGTTTAATTTGAACGATGATATCAACGCCGGTTCAGATGTTAACGAATATGATGAGAACGCTCTTTTAGCCGGTGATAGTGAAGGCAATTTCATTGCTGACACAGTAACATCGGAAGAGAGAATATCTGATCTGGAAGAATTACTGGAAACTCCTGCTAAATCTATTTTATTAAAATTTGTTGAGTCTTTCAAAAGGTTTGTCGCGTCTGAAGGTATTGTTGAATGAAGTCTTTTTCTTAATTTGAAATTGTGGCGATGCATTTGTTTGTTTAAACTTTTATACGTAAGAGTTTTTCCAAATTTCGCAATTGAATATGTACCAGTGCCTGGAGCTGCAGCATCTGTTGTTCTTATTCTTTTGTTGTGTACATCCCTTTTGGAATTACATTTTAGTGTGATACATGTTGGACTAAAATGAAGGCCTAACATTTCCGTACAATCCATTGAGTTTTCTGAAATAAAAAAAAAAAAATTATTTTATAAATTCTATTGGGCTGTTTCACACTAGAATGACGGAACAATTATTCTCACGGTGTCACACTGGATGAAAAGTAGCAGAACAGCAAAACAAAATGTGTTTTTAATGTATTTGTAACTTTACGCTTGAATATACGTAGCAGAGAGCAGCTTTGAGTATGATCGAGCCTTTTTGATCACCCTCACTAAAAATCGGGCACAAGCGAACGCCACACTCGGCTACTATGTCTTCGATCGAGATGCACACCCGACTGCTGATTTGAGTACGAACGAGTCTGTTCGATCACGCTCGCTATAAATTGAGCACAAGCGAACACCACTCTCGGACATCCGCAGCTAACCCGAAAATTTGTGTAACAATGAAACGGACACCCGAACATTGCGATAAAATGCAGGACAACAATGAAATTTACGCTGAAGGTAACTGGCGCCAATATGTTCCAACAAAGCATATTAAAATGTTGTTGCTTTGTGCTTGTGCATACGCAATGAAAAAAATTAGAAGCAAAGCAGACAAAAATGTTTGTGCATCTATTTCGTATAGTTTCGCATGGAATGCTGTGTGTGTATATATTAGAACACACAGCCTAAAAACATGTAGGTACATAAGTACTTTTACAAAAAATAAATGTGCACCGAGTGCATAGGGCTTGGGCATTGCCGATCTACACACATTTAATACCTACATGGATGTAGGCGTCGTGATGATGCAACCTTCTCTTTGCCCTCTACGCACAAACACTAAGAAGAGCGCGATGAGAAGGCAACATTTTTTGTAGAAACGAAAACGCCATAAGCCAATCAAGAAAATTTTGTGCACACTCGGGTTGAAACTCGAACACCCGGGTATATTGAGCTGCAAAGCACCCGAACCCAATCAAGTATGTATGAAAAGCAATCGGGTGTTGTGGCCAACATGTTCGTCTTGAGCTCAGTCGCTAACGAACAATACTTCTGCTCGTATACAGAGAATGATGCAAAACGGGTTTTGTTAGATGATCGAGTATAAACGAAAATTATGCACCCGCTGCAGATGTCTGATACGTAGCGGCATTTTTGTAGTTGCGCATGTGTTAGTGCGCTGCAGCAGAACTGCCACTTTAATGCGGGGTAGAAGCTGGAAAAACTTGTTGAGAAACTTTACTTCACCGCACTGCCTCTCTTGCCTACAAACAGTTCTTCTGGTGGCAGAAATGTTGCAGTGTGAAACCGACCATTCGGAGGGCTTATAAATCTAGAAATTGGAGGCAGCATGGAATATGATAATGGTCTAGAAAATGAACGGTTACAAAAAGTTCCGCTAGAGTCGGTTATGCTAACATCGAACAAATCCTACTGAAGCGGCAGTTCTGGCCGATGAGCGTGACAACCTTCGTCAGGCCGATACCGGAAACCCCCGTAACAGGGATCTCAATTCAACTTGTAAACGTACCTAAGCGGAAGAAGTGGGAAGAGCATCTGAAGACCTGCAACTTCGCCTCTGGTGTGAGTAAGCTTTGGTCAACCGAGGTCATTGTCCAACCCGGCAAAGCGTGACGACAGTGTTGAAATAGACCTTGGTGACCACGCTTCGTCGGACCCGGAAAGATGCGCGAGCTATGTCAGAAAGCAGTTCATTCTGCATCCTCCGTTGGATAAAGCCAAACGTCGAGTGGCCAGAAGGCTGCACAAACTGCCAAAACCTAGTGCGTCTCTTTTTTCACCAGCGGTGAGGTAAGGGTAGCCATCGGGAAGGCGAAAGCCTCCAACGCCATTGAGCCCGACGGAAAATGCATGTTGACGCTGAAAAATTTGGGTCCTGCGGGAGTAGCGTACCTAACGGAGGTCCTCAATTTGTCAATGGCCACTCTCGTCATTCCAGACATCTGAAAGATAGGGAGAGTGGTCCTACTGCTCAAACCGGGAAAGCCAGCCAACAAAGGAGTCTTATCGTCCGATAACCCTTCTTTACCCGGTAGCGAAGAGACTAGGGCCTTGGTACTCCCGTATTTCACGAACCACCTGATCACAGCGAATCATCAGCATGGGTTCCGTAAAGTGCACAGCACAAAAACAGGACTTAACGCCATAAACACCCAGAAAACTCGTGGCCTCAACCGAAATCGCCCCTGTGAGAGAACCATTCTACACAAATCCACAAAAGAATACACTGCTTGTATTACCATCAATATCGCCATGTATAAACTTTAACATACAAAAATAGAGCTTTCGCACGAGCGTTTGTTTGGTTTTTCAACACCATTTATAATTTTCTTTTAATAAAATCACGATTTATCAAATGTTTAAATTTATTTATCTAGTAATAATGCAGCACACAACCCTGAAATCTAAAAAAAAGTCTGAGGAAGGCCATTAAATAGCAGCACACAACCCAGTGCCTTCCTCAAGGGTGAATATAGCTACAACAACAACCCAAAAAGGTTGGCTTCTGTCTATACTGTGGTGGCCATTTCATAGGCACGCGTGCCAAATTTTTCTCTTCTGCTTTCACACGCACACGAGAAAAACTGCGCTGCTTTCACACATAAATGAGCATACTCTATGAATCAGTGATGCCGACAATTATGGTTTTGCTGTGACCGTGCTCAATTGATGCGAAACTTTCAAGCAATCAAGTCGCTGCAAGACACGGTAAAAATTTTTAATATGAATTCGGATGTAGATTTTACCCACTAATAATGGGGAGGGAGGGCACAATGTTTGGTGTGTCATAAAGAAATCGCACGGACGACAAACTTCTTTGTTAAGCGCCATTTCCCCTTATTCCCAAATATTTAATTAATAAATTATTACGTACATATGCACATAAATAAAAAGATGATCGTTGACAACACTGTTTGCATAAGACGCGTGAGCGACTTATTCTCTTCATTCTCTCATCGTTTAGCAAAGTTGGGATATATGATTGTGTGAGTTTTGGCCACCTCTGAATTAAACCATAAATGGATAGAGTATAAATAATAACGAATTTTGAGAAGCCTAACTTTATAAATAAACTTCAGAAATTTATTGGAATTGTTAATTATTAACATATCGATTCCAATGATTGCTAAAGAACTTTTTCCCTTGCACTAAATGGTAACTATTGCAAACAAAAGTAGACTCAGAGCTTTTAGGTATATAGGGCAATCAAACTTTTCAAGCATTTTCTAGAAGGTCAAGTTTTTACAATATATACTGATCACAAACCTTTGACTTATGTTTAAAATCCAATGACGGAAGAATCTCCTAGACAAACACGCCATTTAGGATATATTATAGAATTGACGAGTGATATACAGCATATATCTGGAAAGAATAATATTGTAGCAGATGCTCTATCAAGGTTTCCTGAAATAGACGTACTTTCAGCAAAAGACATACACTTTCAGACTTTATTTGCTGAACAGCAATCTGACAAGTTCATCAAGTCTCTAGTATGTTATCCAACATACAAAAATAATTTAAAACAAATTATTACTCTAATTCATAATTTTAAAATTTGGTGTGATGTTTCTGGTCGAATTCCACGTCCTTATGTTCCGAATTCCATGAGATAGCTTTTTTCAAAACTAATCTTTATCACATCCTGGGGTTCGCTTAACTAGACGTTTAGTACTGTCAAAATATTTTTGGCCTAACATGCGAAGAGACATAAATGAGTGGGCATCAAATTGTATTTTTTGTCAGTAGTCAAGCTTTCAAGGTATACAAAACCTCCTTTTTAAAAAATTTAAATACCAAAAGATAGATTTGAACATATTCATTTGGATTTAGTTGGACCACTTCCACCATCAGACGGATGTCGATATGTTCTAACAATCATTGATAGGGAATCATGGTGGCCTGAGGCATACCCTCTTCAAAATATAACTGCTCACGCTGTGGTAAATGTTTTTGTTCAAAACTATATTTCTAGATTCGGTGTTCTTCTTAAAATTACTGTTGACTAGGGTGCACAATTTGCATCTCTATTATTTGACGAGCTCGCTATAGTTCTTGGTTCACATAAAATTCAAACGTCTGCTTATCATCCACAAGCTAATGGTATGGTAGAACGATTTCCCCGTCAACATAAAACGTCAATTATAGCTACAGGTGATTCAATTCATTGGTCAGAAACTCTGCCTCTGATTTTATTAGCTTTACGTACTGCGGTTAAAAAAGATTTGAAGTCGTCTCCAGCTGAGTTAGTTTATGGACAAACTCTTAGGGCTGGTTTCTCCTACTCAACTTAACTTAGTTCAGCCAATTTTTTTGAAGAAGTCCAAAAAATGGCTAAACTAAGTTAAGTTGAGTTGGAGAAACCAGCCCTTAGAGTTCCTGGAGAATTAGTTGTTTCTGGAAAAGTTGAAAATTCCTCACAAAAAAAATTAAAAATTTAAGAAACCACTTTTCAATAGTTAGAACAAAAATTTTACATCATAACAAAGATGTGAGTTTTGTTCCAAAATCTCTTGCGGAATCCGACTATGTTTTTGTTAAAATAAATCAATCTTCAAGGACTTCAACCTCATTATGAGGGGCCATTTAGAGTAATATCAAAACATAAAATACATTTAGAATTCAAAAAGGAAATATTACTAAAAAACATATCGATATCTACATTTACAACTTTACATAAAAAGTAACTTTTAAAATTGATTAATTTTTATTGTTTGGAAGTTATAATTAATATTTAATTGTATTTTTCACTGGAGGGGGAGTAAATGTACTGGTTGAAATGAAACTCGAAATAAAACACCTTTTGTATTTTAAGGTTTTAATGAAGAAAATGTAACACGTGCGGTAATTTAGAGAATCAGTAAATAGGCTAAGTAGAATAGTATAAAGTAAGGTAGTTGCCATATCAACATTAATTATTCATTGTAATAATAATCATAGGATGTTTTTTTTTTTTTTTTTTTTTTTTTTTTTTTTTTTTTTACTCGTGCAAATAATCCTCAAGATATTGTGGCGGCCGGCGCTGGCGGCTGGATCTCCGGGCTATCGGTTG